GCCGAGGCCCCGCTGCCGGCCTGTCTCGGCTGCCCGCGGCCATGCTGAGCGTGGCCACCCTGGCTTTTGAGTCCAGGTGAGAGACGGCGACTCTTCCTGTCACTCCAACACCTGGAGGCTGCCGCAGTGTTATTCTCTGGCCTGATTTCAGCACTGTCATTGTCCCAGGCACCAGGGAGGACCCAGGAGAGGAGAGACGGGGAACGGCCAGTCGGTGGAGCAGTCAGAACACACACATTTATCGACTAAGTGCACTGTCTTCTGCGGACACAGTCCATGGCACCCCAAAACAATCAGAGCAACATCGAAGATCACTGATCACATTTTATAAGTTAGTATAAAACGAAAGTCCCAGTTTGAAAATCTCCTTTTGACAAATTTGAGAGAGGCAAACACTACCTTTCCATGCTTATCATTAATTCAGATTGTTGAACTACTTTGTTTTTTAAGCTGCTCGTGATTTGTAAGTGCTGGGAACCCATCCCCGATCGGTATTTCAGGAGAGGTTTATGTAAATGGACTAGCTCTGCAGGACGGGCGCTTCGTACCTGCCCGCTCCAGGCTGCAGCTGTGACCGAAACAGCACAACTTGGCCAAAGCGAGTGAGATGGCGTAGCCGGCGAGCTGTGTGCGGCTCCTTCCCCGGCGCCAGCTCTCAGAAAGGGTGTCGTTTTAGGGAATTTTCTAGGACTAGAACTGTGAACACAGCAGCAGATGTTTTGTTAGAATAAATACATGATGTGGTTTTCAGTGACATGGTGCCTGCAGGCTCAGCTGAGGGACAGAGCCATCTTTCAGCCACCCTGCCACATCTCATCAGAACTGAAGCCGGAATTCTGACACACACACACACACACACACACACACACACACACACACACACACACACACACACACACACACCCGCACACCCGCACACACACACACACCCGCCTCTCCACGCCATGACCAGGCAATAAGTAAAAGGTGGACGTATAAAGTCCTCAGGCTACATGGCGAGAATAGTTCGTAACTGGCCTCATTTTTGCTACTAACTTTGTCCCTTCCTATAACTTTGAAGTGACGCACGTCATGAGCATCCCACGTCAATAACTGAAACTTTGATCCACATGGTAAACAGCTGCGCTTATCCATTGACAATCCATAAAGCTTAGTACATTCGTAATTACAGATGAAACGTATTTCTAGAAAACAGTGCTGTTTTCTAATTGCTTTAGATAATGTGGAGAGCCATTGTAAAAACCTTGTTGAATGGAGGGTACTTCCCACCCCGCTACTCGATGGGGAACACCGAGCAGAAAACCTGTCTCTTTTTTTTTTTGCCACTTTTGAAGCTATAAAGAGCCATCAAAACGCAGTCACATAATGTGCTGTGGATAAACTTTAAGAGCTAATGATAGTCTAGCTCAGAACAATCAATACCTAGAAGCCTCCATGCTATTTATCACCCCACTCAGCCTGTCTTGAAATTAGCTTCTCTTTTCTGGACCCCTATTTGCGAACTAGATAAAATAGGTTCAATTAGAATTCAACATGTAATATGATATAGTGCGTAACAGAATTATGGTATATAAACAAAAAAAACCAAACTCCAGGTTTTAGAAATGAGTTCAAAAATCATCATGTGTTCCCTCGGCCATGTGTTACATTTAAAGTGCACGCGTGTGTGTAATACAGCGTGTGGGCACACGAGCTAATGTTGTGCTTAAATGAAATACCATCACCCGCCTGCCTTGGCTTTTCTGCCCTTAATCTAATGGAATATATTTAACCTTAACGAGCTCGGAAACCATCAAGCATTTGAGAATCACGTAGTACTTACCTTACTCGTTTAAATGATACACTTTTGACAGGTCAGCAGTGTGTTGCGTAAACCTCCCAGTCGTTAGATACCTTTGTTGCACTTAGATTAACAGAAGTACCAGCATGGCTGGGAGGCCCAGGTCACGGTTTCGTCAGGCGTTAGAACCAGGAGTCCGAGACGCCTGCAGCCTCCCACTCACGGAGAGGATGCCGAGGCCCAGAGGTGCCTCCCCGCTTCTGCCTGGTGGCGCTCATTCCCCCGTTCTTCCCGTTCTTGGCTATTTTCAAATCTTCAGTCCTTAGAGTCACCTCGGGGCAGTTACACCTGAACCGTGTGGGGAAGTACGCAGGAGATAAGCCGCTTCAGAGTTCAGCGTGGAGACGTCATGGCTCCACTCCACCTGGCTTGCAGTGGGGGGAACAGACGCAGGCTCCTCACAGTTAGCGTAGGCCGCAAACCCACTGCAGTGCAGCCTGGGTAAGCGCTGCCTTTGGGGGTTCTGCCTTAAGGGGGACCGTGCTTCTCTTCAACAGCAAAGCAATGTCGGATGTTCTCTGTTGACCTACACCTGTCAGATTATTTTGGGGGGTTTTCTGGAGACTCAATAAATAACACCTGTTTTCCAGTCCATCTTCAGAGTTGGGGAGAGAACTGCAGGGGCCAGACAGGCAGAGACCCCACTGGGGTGTCCTTCCTGACGCGGGTCGGGGGGTCGGCGGGTTCCAGGGCACCTGTGACTGACTCGGGGGCGGGGAGGGAAAGAAACACTAAATTTATGGCTATTATTTCAATGAGGTTCATTTTATATTTACTAAAAGGAAGATAATATTTAGCCAAAAAAACTATCATAGTGAAATATTTAAAAGAAAATACTAAAAGATAGTTGAGATCTGTTAATGTAATATAGAATGATATTTAGTTCTTCCTTGATGAAACGTATTTTCTGAAAGTAAAAAATGTGGAATCTTTTAGGTGGTAAATACATTTCGTTGGATTATATTCTCGGGAGTTGAGTGGCTAGTTGTTTGCGGGGTTCCTGTCCCCTCCTCTGGGGGGGCACAAGCCATCCCACTTGCTGACTCAGGTTCTACGTGTCCTTACTCTGAGACACGTGCCATGCTACGGTGGCACTTCCGTGTCCGACCAGGACCCGCTGGCTAACAGAAGCAGGCGCACTGGGTTGTAGTCTAGGAGGCCACGTCTGCACGTACACGAGGTGCCGAACAGAACACAGCGTGTGACAGGGACACGCGGGAGTCACAGGCTGCCCAGGGGAGGAGCAGGTGGTCGCCGGGCAGGGAGGGGAGGGGGCGTGTCAGGCCAAGGACCCGCTTACACAGAGTACAAGACTGGGTGGCGCACACTGCACGTGTCCTTATTTTAAAATTTAGTTTGAAATTCCAAAGAATGGATCGTTTTTACTTGTGGTAAAATCCACGTAACATGAAACTTGCCGTTCCAACTATTTTGAGTGTGCGCGTCGGTGGATTCTGTACGTCCACAGTGTACAACCGTCACACCGCGCGTCCGGCTCCGGAACGTTCTCGGGGTCCCAGACAGAGGCTCTGTCCTCGCTAGACACCGACCCGCAGCCTGGCTCTGTCTCGGAGTCTCGCTCCCCGGGCGCCCCGTGTAAGTGGACCGGCGGAACTCGTCCTCCGGCGCCTCGCGGGTCTCGCTTAGCACGGCGTCCTCAGGGTCCGTTGGTGTCGTAGCGTGGATCGGAGTCGCACGGGGAGTGTGAAGTCTGGGCGATGCTCCGTTGTCTGCACGCACCGCGATGTGGCCGTGCCCGCCGCCGGCTCTGAAGACGCCGCCGCGCACGCTGGCTGCGTGCATCTGAGCCCCTGCTCTCCGTCCCCTTGGGTGTAGACCTGGGGGCGGGTTGCTGGACCGCATGGCAGGCTCATCACAGGGGACCTGCCGCGCTGTCCCCAGCGGCCACCCCGTTTAGCATCCCCCCAGCCGGGCGCAGGGGTTCGGCGTCTCCACGGTCTGACCAGCCTTTCCTGCAACAGTTTGAGGCAGCTGGACCGGGCCGTGTCCGAGCTCCGTAAGGACCTTGGGAAATGTTTTCCGTTCATCTTCTCTGTCATTGCGTCGAAGATGAACTTCGGGTCCCCAGTGCCGGTAAAAACGCACACGGGCCCGCGTCAGAATCCCGGCCTCCGTCACGCCGTGCGCGTGGCTCATACAGAGTGTGCTCGCGGGGAGGCCTTCGAGGCCAGCCGTCGGCTTCGTGCCGGCTGTAAACTAAATCGGGGAGGGTTCGCCGTCCACGTTTCCGGCCTGAGCAACAAAGTCTTCTTTTCTCCTGCAGCTCCCTGCACGGGCGGCACCTTCTTTTGCCACAGCAACATGTGCATCAACAATTCCTTAGTCTGCAATGGCGTTCAAAACTGCGCATACCCTTGGGATGAGAATCACTGCAGAGGTGAGTCCCCGGCGAGGGCCGGCCTGGGCGAGGGCTGGCCATCGCCTTTCATGAGGAAAGACTTCAAACGACCCCTTTCTCTACCCCTGTGCCTCCCAGAGCTACTTCGGCAGACGTGGAGACACGTAACGTAAATGTTCTCTTAACTGGATCGCAGACCTCTGGATGTGGCAAAAGCAAAGAAAAATATGTTTTCAGCTGTTTTTTTTTTTTTTACTACGTTTTCTACCTTAAGTGGTTCAGAAGTTCATCGTGATCTTTCTTGCCCTCATTTTCTTAGTCGTTTGTATTATAAAGATACCTCATTCTCAAAATAATTGAGAAAGTGACCTAGAATATTGTTATTTTTTAATTACACGGAAATACCATTTAATAAAAACCAACTGATGGGTTCCATCTTACTATATAAAGCATTCTCAATATAAATGCCCCACATTTCGCTTCCAGTATATTCTCCCGCAAAGATAAATAGGGCTGTGGTAGTGGTCAGGTTATCAGATCATCGTCTTGGTACTAGAGTTCGTCTGCCTCTGACTCTCCAAGGGTTCGATAGACCTCTCACCATGAAGTTAATGTCACCTGGCGTGGCTGGCTTAAGTACTTGACATGGAGTATTTTCAGGTCATCAGTTCAAAGCCGGTAGGCCAGGACAGCATGCCCAAGCTTGGTCCTTTGCGCGGCGGTCATCAGCAGAAATACCGTGGGACAGACTCAGACCTACCATGGGCTATACTCAGACCTTCCGTGGCTCGGAGCCCAACGGGGCGGAACAGGAGCATTCGTTCTGGCATTTTCTGTATCCACACACTGACGTTGCTTGGCAAATTGGCAAATTGTATGCGCTCGGCACTCGCGTGCCTCCTAAGTAAAGAACCACGTCCTCTTCTGCCTTGTAACCTGTCTAGCTAGGTTCGGATCGGTTAGTTTAACCAGAAATCCAAATAGGATTATAGTATTTTTCGTTTTAAAACCTAATTTTAAATCGTACTATCCGTGATGCGCTTCACCCAAAAGACACCTCGCGGTTTGCGACGGGACTCGCGGGTGGATCCCGAAAGCCTCACCGTCTCTCCTTCTCTTTCTGCAGAGAAGAAAACGGCAGGACTGTTCGAACAGGTCACCAAAACGCACGGCACGGTCATTGGCATCACCTCGGGGGTCGTCCTGGTCCTCCTCGTCATCTCCGTCCTGGTGCAGGTGAAGCAGCCGCGGAAAAAGGTAGTGGCCTGCAAAACGGCCTTCAACAAGACCGGGTTCCAGGAGGTGTTCGACCCGCCTCACTACGAGCTGTTTTCTCTGAGGGACAAGGAGGTGTCTGCGGACCTGGCCGACCTGTCGGAGGAGCTGGACAGCTACCAGCAGATGCGCCACGCGTCCGCCACCTCCCGGTGCGTCCACGATCACCACTGCGGCTCGCAGGCCGCCAGCGTCAAGCCCAGCAGGACCAACCTCAGCTCCGTGGACCTCCCCTTCCGGAACGATTTCGCTCAGCCGCAGCCGATGAAGACTTTCAACAGCACCTTCAAAAAGAGCAGCTACACGTTCAAGCAGGCGCCCGAGGGCCCCGAGCAGGCGCTGGAGGACAGGGTGATGGAGGAGATGCCCTGCGACATGTACGCCAGGGCCCGCGGCGAGCCGGCGCAGGCCTCCATATCCATCGATTTCTGACGGTCCCCTGCCGGGGGACACTAGCCACTGCGCAGCCCACAGAGCACCCCCGCCGTCTCCAGCTGCCAGCCCCCCCTCCTGTCAAAGCCGGGGCTGTCACTTCCCGGCCACCTGCCGTGACCAAGGTTGTGTGGCCTCAGGCGGTTGATTTCTGTCGCAGCCACCAAGGAACTCGCTCCCCTCCGCCCCCCGCCCCGTGTCACCGTGTCACCGGCGAGCATCTTCGCCCGGTGTCTGAGGAATGAAGCGCCAGTTTCCGCATCTGAGGTGGGAGGCGGAGGTGGGGAGCCAGGCTCGGGCTACCTGTCCTTTCAGCGACAGGAACCTGCTCACGACTGAGACACGGCTCTGTCGATATTTCCGTCCCACAGTACGTTTAAAGATAAGATGGCCCTTTGCATCCACTTTTATTTTTCCTTTGAATTTCATTCGTCCTGTGAGCCAGTCGTTTTGCCATTTCCTGCATTAACATACGTGGGTCATGTGCCACATGTATGTCCACAGTGGGCGTTTGTTCTAGAATTTGTCAGAGCGTCACAATCACCGCGGTCAGCGCCAGCAAAGACCCAGAGCTGCGGCCCGTCCACCTGCTGCTTCCTGAGCGGCCTCGATACCGTCGCCTTTTAATTACTGAATCCTCCGTCTTTATTTTCGGTGAGAAGCAGATGCTTTATCACCTTTAAGTCTATTTCGTCTTAGTTCTATTATGCTAGAAAATGTCATAATTCTGGGATGTCTCTACCATGGCCCGTTTGACTAACACCTTGAAAAAAGATGAAACCTTCTGGAAATGCTTTGAAACGTCCCAAACCTGGTCCCGTTCGACGACGGCTCATCATTCACTTCCGCGAGCAGAGTCGTCGAGTCCGTTTTGGGGGAGGCCTGTAATTATGTCTGTCCCCAGTGTTTCTCTCCGCCGGACGTGTCCCCCGTCATTTCTGCAGAAAGGGTATCGAGCTGCCTCTGTCTTAGGTCACCTCGCAGCGCGTGGCAGCCAGGGTCGCGAGAGTTACAGGAAGCCCTCTAAACCTGCGCAGGCCTTCGGATCGCTTCTTACCTGGGACAACGCATTTTTCTAGTTCTTACCAAGAAAAACTACTTTCACTTTTTTTTAAACTGCACTTTTGACCTTATTTTTTTTATGGTATGTAAACAATAATTTATAAACATGATATAAAAACTCATTGTGTTTTTTTAGACTTTTGATATTATTTGATACTGTACAAACTTTATTAAATCACGATGAAAGGCCGACGTGACAGATTTCTTTCGGTGTTCGCATTAGTAGCTCTGCTGGAAGCACCCACTATAATTTATTGTGAAGACCTTGATAATGTGTACGTAGCTTTTGGTTTCCTTTCGTTGTTGCGTTTGGCTTATAATAAATTTTTTCACTGTGTGATATTTATTGTTCTAAATCACTACACAGATCTCATATTAAAATATGCATTGTTACATGATTCTTCAATCATGTTATTTATGGCACTGAGGTTTCGGATCTTAAGATGTATATGGAAAAGGAATTCATGTATGAATTACAACTAATACACGCCGTTCAAACGAGATAAATTCTCATTTTCTATATTTTTTGGTAGTAAATTCTCAATGAAATGAGAAATTTTAAGTTTCACTGGATTTCGTTAATTGTTTTAAGTATCACATCTGTGTTTTCTCAGATTAGTGGAAACTGACCTTAAATGATAGACATATAATTCTCCTTCAAAATGATTCTTACATCACTGTTTTTAACAAGTACATAATATCCAGGAGATAGGAAAACCTGTACACAGTATTTTTATGATTTAGTTTTTTTTAAGTCAGCATAATTTCTTGTTTTAAAAATGTAACTTGGGAAGGTAGAAGGACTCCATGAGTGTAGTACTCAGTGAACTAATGAAGCAGAGCCAGATCAGATAGCTAAATTCTTTCAGCGGCTGTGTTGAATAGGTATGGTCATAGATAACTTGCCGGCCAACGTTTGAAGGACATAATAAATACTTGATGTAATAATCACTGATCTCGTTCTTTACGATGAAAGGAAAACTAGCATATAGTTACCAAATCCATTGTAACAACAGCTGTTAAATCTCTTTAACATCTAGTAGGAGATAATACAGTATGCTCAAGCACATGATCTATAGTCGCTTGTAACTTTTTAATTCTTGAAATTTATCTTCCATTTTCTTATAAAAGGGCATGAAGAGGCCCATAAAATACGGTCTTTACAGAACACATTTAACATTTAAGTGCGGAAACATGTGATCTCAGGCAGTCAGCAAGTAAAGCTCGGAAAACAGCCCTGGCCCTAAACTTTCCAGCTGCTGAGACAGACAAAATCGTTTCTGGTTTTCACAACAGAAACCCAAACAGCTGCAGAGGCCAGTCTTTTAAAGAAAGAGACGACATTTTCTCAGAATTTTAAAAAAGAGGCAAAATGCAGAGAGAGGTCATAATGGTGAATCTTAACCCGGCGAAGGCTCCTCTCCATGGGTCTGGGGACACAGTGCCCAGCAGGCCGTCCGCAGGAGCACAGCCACCCCAGGTGGCCCGCAGCGTGCCACCCCGGACACCCGCATCCCAGATGCCCTCCGGGACCTGGAGACGGGCATCCGGCCTCACTCGAGTCTCAGCCAGACACTTGGCGGTGCACCCCAGGGAGAGAGAACGGGACGGATCAGTCAGGCGTTCCCACTGGCCTGTCGCTCATCGTTGTACCCAACACCTTTCACCTTCAAGGCCGCTGAGAAAACTGAACAAATCGTCCACTAACGTGAAAGCCGTGCGTTGCAGTAATGGAAGACGAAAGTCAGCCGCCTTGTGGGAGGCGTCACGCCCTTCACAGAGGCCGTGCTGCCCAGTGGTAAACACATCCCGGAAGGAGCGAACGTGGGGACGGCGTCGAGGAGCAGCGTCGAGTACGGCCCAACCGTCATCCCGTCATCGTTATCGTCCACCTGTGACACAGTCGATCCCGGATTTAACACATGACGCCAACTTCCAGGTGCCCATGCCGCAGGAAGCCTGGCCCTCCCAGCATCTGACGGACGTAGGAATAAAACGTGCTGTTCCCTGGGCAGCGGGGAGGGCTGGGGGGAGGATTAACAAAAAGCAAACGATTTTCCCCATTTCCCATCCTAAAAGAGATCGAAAAGGCTCCTTTAACTGACTTGCTAACAGCTCTCGTGTGAGCATCTCCATCACGTCTCACGTGATTAACAGGTGCGTGGAGAACCTCGGCGTCTGCTTCCCAACAGTTACGTCATTCTGCCGCTGTCCGGTGGCAGGTGTGTCCTTCGTCCCAGAATGCGCCAGCTGGCGAGCCCAGCCTGCGTCCAGGAGTGGGTCTCAACCCAACAAGCCCCGCTCTCCTGCAAAATGACGCCTGCTGTATCATCCGTGTTATTTTATTTCATTATGCCTTGGATCAGACTCATCGGACCGATCAGATGGAACCTTGAGTTTTGGGTTTTTTTTGTGTGTGTGTTTTTTTAAGATCCAGGAAAGACGATCTGGTCCAACCTTATTAATGAGAATAACGAAGCCTGGAGAAAAGAAGCGAGCCACACACACACACACACCCATCTCGGAACGAGCCCCCTCCCCTGCGTTCCGCTGTCTGCTTTGGCCAACTCTGAGTTTCAGAATTCAGTGCGTTCTCAGCAGCCCCGATGTTCCACGTAAGCTTGTTCTGAAATGTCGTTGATTTGATAATCGCTTTCTTCAAAGCATATTTTACTCTCTTTTCTTTACCTGTGTAACACTTTGCTGTTCTGCAGTTTAGTCGCCATGATTTCTTGGCACCTCCAAAGCTGGCAAGACAGTTACTGTGACTTCTTGATAAAGAAGCATAACCATTTACAGGCTCGACACTAGACAGAGAGCGTCAGTGTTCCGTTTTTGCGACCGTTTTTCAGTCTACAGGAAACCAGTGTGTCCTCTAGAAATTAAACGTTTGTGTGCTGTATCTCTTGAGTTTGGAGAATGATTCGAGTTTGGAGCCAGGTTGACCTGGGGTGTGTTTTTTAGCTCCCTGCAAAATCAATTGTCGTGTCTTATACATCTCTACTAATAACATTCAAAATTCTGAATTTGCTTGTCCTGAGTAACTTTTTCACATACGTCTGTGATTGGTTTAATGGCTATACGAGCCCAAGAAACTAATGACTGAGATGCGCATTTCGGATATACTGTCTTGAGTAAAACAAATTTTTTTTAAAGCCACCGATTTTTTTTTTTTAGAGATGAACTTCCAAACCACGTAGGAATTCGCACATGCTAATCCCGGATTTGACACTTTGCAGTTAAGAATTCGACCCTTGAACCGAAAATAAAAACGTGTTTTGATACCCTTGCTCACCTCAACTTCCAAAGTGCGTAGAAGTGGCCGGGAATCCTCATATTTCCTGCCCGGTGCTTTCCGAGGTAAACAGTCATGGTTATGACAAAAAAAATAAATGCATCCTCTGGCTATTCCACTTAAAACCATTTTAACTTTTCAAATTAATCTTCAAGTGAAGACGAGCCGTAGAGAAATGACGACTCCGGTCTTGAGGTTCCTGCAGGGTGCAGCCTCCTGCATCGGCTCTCAGAAGCGGGGCCACAGCGGGCCCTCGGAACACGCTGGCCTTTGAGGTGCGGAGTGCACGGGTTCGTAAGGATGGATGAGTAGCCGTCACGAAAAGTGTACGCAGGAGAAAGCAAAATGCGAAAGCTCCCAAGTTTGACGGTTACGCAGACACACATCAAGGGGCAAAGGAAAAAGGAAGAAAGGTCGTTACCACTGGTCTGTGCAAAAAAGCAGTTTTACTTTCTGCCTTATTTAGGATTAAGAAACAGCTTTTATCGAAAAGTGCTCTCACCATCCAAGCTTCGTCACACTCTGTGACATCTGGCACCTGCGGGCCGCTGAGCCGTTATCCATTGCATTGAAACGGTTTTGAGGAGCCGCTGATGGCTAGCAGGCCTTTTCACCAGAAATCAATGCTCTTCACGTCTTAGTCTATTCTTCCACGGCTGACTTGCTTCTGTTGTATCGAGTGGTGTATCAGAGAAGCGTTCACAAATTTTGAACCAGAAGATAGCCATGCGCGTCATAGAGGGGTCCTCTCTAGACCCTAGAGTTATTTCATCGCTGTTACGTGTAACGTCTCAGGCGATCTAGCTCGGAAGATGTGTGCAAGGAGCAGATGGCGAACTCACTGCCATTGGCTCAGGTGCACAGCGTCTGCCTTTCACATTCGTGACCGATCACCGGGCAAACTTGCTTTCTCAGGCGTTAGCTTTTAATATGAAAAAGGGAATGACACTCACGGCAGGAGGCTCCCGAGACGCCGCCTGCCGCCCCTGCCTCCTGGTGTCCGTGATCTTGGGTCGTCCCCCGCCCTTGAGTGTGAGCCGGACCTAGTGACCTTCCAATGAACAGAATATGGCCAAAGTGACATGTCGCTTCTGAGATTAGGTGACAGACTGGCTTCTGTCTTGTGCACTAACTCTCTCATGCTGTCGTGCTGAAGGACACCACTTGCCACGTTCTGAGATGCTCTGTGGAAAGGAACATGACAAGAAACAGGACTTTCTAGCCGACAGGTAACGTTGGCACAGAGGCCCTCAATCCAACCACCTGTGAAGAACCGAATCCTGCCAGCATCGCACGAGGGCACGTGGAACGGGCCCCTCCCCACATGGAGCCCCGAGGTGACCACAGGCAACACCCCAATTGCAGTTTGTGGGAGCCAGTGAGCCACACCTGGGGACCAGCTGAGAAACCCAAGATGGCAGGTGTTGTCTTAAAACTTTGGAATAATCTGCTGTGCAGCCATAGATAACTAGTACAGAGCTCGAAAAGGGCAGAGGGGTCTCAGCGCCACCCCGGGGGAAAAGTGCTTGGCAGGGGTCTCACGCGATGCTTCGTTTGCAGGAAAATGACCAACGCCACGCACGCACCGTCCTGAATCCAGCAGCTGGTCGTCCCTTGCGTGAGCACCTGGCGGCTGTCAGCCTCTCAGCCACACTAAACCCGTTCTCTCTCGAGGATGGCAGAAGATGCCGAAACGCAATCCTAGCCCTCGAATGCCTTTCAAGTCACTCATCGAGCCTCGTTTGGGCAGGACGAAATCACCTAAAAATGAATAAAGGGTGACATTCCGCGCAGCTCCCTGCGGGACCCCTCTAACCCAGCGTCGCCCACACCGCCGTCACAACGCTGCTTCCTGCGCTGCAGGGCTGGTGCGGCTCCCTCGATATGTGAGAGGGGGCTCTGGGGACAACCGATCTGGAAACGTGGAGGGGGCTGTCACTGAGAAAAGCAGCCTTTCATGCGCACAGCCCACCCGACCCCGAAATGAGACGTGTCGCCGAGACCTGTCTACACAGATACTTCTACTATGATGAAAAAGAAAGAAAAATGTTCTTTGTTCACTTTGCTTTGCTCGGCTTCAGTCAGAATAGACAAAAGACCAACTCGGGAAAGTCTTTCTTTCCGCAATTGTTTTCAGTCGCTGGCCGGCAGCCACAGCTACCTGCTCGAAAGATGAAATTGTATCTCCGGTGGCATCTGTGTGTACATGTTTCCTTTGAATTCGAAGCCGCTGTTGCTGACACTGTCTCGCCCCGTGGGGTATCACTGTGCCCTAAATCCTCCTCTAAGGCGACCCCGTCGGGTCAGCCTCTGGAAGTAGGTGGTGCCCGTTGCTCTGGAAGCTCCACCCTGGGCTCGTCCCTGCAGGACGGGCGCCCGGAGACTGTCTCGTCTTCATCCTTTTGCCATCTTTAGTTGCCAGGTGGCAGTCAGTGGCCATGCAGCTTGAGGCTGCTCGTTTTCGTCTGCCGGCCCCCGGGGAAGTGGCCGCCTCCCCTCCAGGAGGGAGCCTCGCGACTGTCCCCTCCGTCACTTTTAAACCAGCAAACCCACACACGCGCTGTCCAGAACCCGTCCTGTCCGATGGCCCCCTCAGCTTTCTTGAGGACCCAGTTCTTTGTTTTCCCATGACCCACAAACAGATGTTTTTTAA